TGTTTGATTATTTTAATATGTGTAAAGAGTATATCCAAATGTTCTACAGAGCCGCTGTACTTTTAAAATATTTTAATGTAGATCTTTGTTGTTAAAATATTTAAATAAATTTATAGGTATTGGTTGACATTCATATATCATCAAATTGAGACGTACTTTAACAAAAACAAAAAATATTATATATGATCCTTGAAATTAAAAATGAGTATACAAATACAAAGTGTAAATAACTAACACGAAAATAAGTAAATACAATTGTAAAGCTAATTATCACTTCTTACACTATCTTAAACTACACTCGTGTCATCGTTATTTTGTTCTGCAGCGTGATTGGTCTTCCTGATCAAAACTAGAAACCATGCGCGGGCTTCTAGCACAGCAGCAACACAACCCAAAACACCAATGGTGATAAGATATGAAATTTTCCACCATTTTCCTGGCTGAAGCATATCAAATCCTTTTAGGATGTTGACAATGCCGAGAATGATTGTTCCGTAACCGACCAAGTAGTGAAACCAGTTCCAAAAAACTCTCTTCTTGTCTGTCTTGTTGGGCCTCAAACTCAAAGCAACCAACACCTGAAGTGCAGCAAGAGAAATGAGAGTGATGCCCATGCATCGGTGTCCTTTATATTCAACCCCTGAAGATTTATGGCCGAGCCAAAGCCCTGTTGCAAACCCAGCAACTCCACCAAAATATCCCAGCATCTGACACGCCCTATGAACATGAAACCATGCTGGATCAGCAGCCTTGAAATGCCTCGCCACAATAGCCCCAACGGGCATCAGAATGCCCCAACTGATGGTATTAATAATTCCATGAGAAATCTTCACTCTGAATACAGAACTCGTTCCCCTCCTGACTGTTTCCACTTTCCCGGAAAGAAAATCCAGAGCTCCGAAGGACTCAACGTTTGGTCCGGACACGGAGTGCATCTGCGGTGTGTTTCCGGACAAAGGTCCTTGCTGCCAAACATGGTTGACGATGCTGACGTTGTTGGGAAGGCCTACGGTGGCGAAGATGACGATCTGGTTGTTCTTGTACACGGCAGAGACATCAAACAAAGGGAAGCTGAGATTTCCTTGCTCCAAACGAGTTCCATAGCTCTTGATCGGGGACGAGTAAACAGAGATAGCTCCGTCTGTTCTCTGGAAAGCCACGATGGCTTGGGAGCCCACCATGCCAGTGGAGGTAGGGTTTATGGCCCATGCAACCCATCTGGAGTCGCTCACCACGGCTTGTACGAACGCCACGTCCACGGTGCCTTTGGAGGGGTAATAATTCCAGTGTATCGTGGAGTTCAAAATCGGTAGATTATGGCATGCAGCAAACGTCTTTTGTTTGAAGGCTTGGGGTGTGCAAGCTTGTTGTGACATGGTGACGAAAACTGAGCTAAATATGAGAGATACGAAAAAAAGACATTTGTAAAAAGCCATGGGATTGGAAGAACTTGGTTTTGAAAGGATGGGTTTCTGTTCATTGTGTTTTTGTATTTGATTTGATGTATCTATATATAGTGACTTTTGTATCCTTTCCTAATTAGGAAAGGAATCAAAAATTTAGGCTGACTGGCCAGTACAATATTACGATCTCCATTCTAATCACAATTACTATTCCAGTTCCTATTTTGATAACTATTAGGGTATAGTTATTTGATATGTAAATATATTAGTTATAAATTTAAAATAGCTGGGGCGCTCTTTTAATAATTAGTTAAAGAACCATGTATGCTGTGGCATAATACATTTTGGGGTTTGTAAGAACTACCTTCAAATTGGAAATTACCCAATAAGGAAGTATCCACTAAAATATCTTGATTGACAACACATTTTGGTCCCGCAGTTTTTCTCTCTCACAAAATAAGTACATGCACGGATGGCTCCTATAAGTATTATTGAAGAACTACATCATGATCTTGTAGAGAAAGTTCACTTTCATTTGCTTAGAAAACAACAGCCAAGCCCCATGCAGAACGAGCTCATCAACTCTCACTTCCAAATTGCTTCTGGATGTCCTGAAAGGACACAGTTGCAGAGCCCCTCCTTTTTGCCCTCTGCTGAGATGGATGGTCCCTCCACCCTGTCATATAAATAACCTGCAAAACCAAGAACTACTCATATAATTATCAAAGCACATTGCCAGCATTGATCCAGTGAACATACAAGGAACCCCTTATTTTTCCATTTCTTTTTTGAGTGGTAATACACAGAGAAAATGATGGGCGATTCGAGCTCTAATTGCAGTCTCTACTACCTACTAACTACAATCAACAAAAACTTGCTGCCATGAAACTTTGCTTATACACTACTATTGCAGTACAATGGACGGCATTCTATATGAGTCAGCTTGCTATGCAAGTGCACAACAATACAAGGAGAACAAGGTGCAGAACGGCTCTTAAACACCGATGTGATAGTGGTGATGAAATGAAAAGAAGCATGCCGGATGTCTTTTACGAAGATTTTCCATAAGTATTATAGAGCACCCTTCAGTGGTTAAGTTATGAGACAAGTCCATGGCACAGACAGTATATAAGAGGAATACAAAACCTTGTTAGTCCACGTTTTAAGTTGTCAAATTTCATAAATGTGTACAACAAAGATGCCCTAAACAATCGACTGTTCCAAGCTCTCCGTTGAAAACACGCCAGATGTCTTTCACGAAGATTTTCCATAAGTATTATAGAGCACCCTGCAGTGGTTAAGTTATGAGACAAGTCCATGGCACACACAGTATATGAGAGGAATACAAAACCTTGTTAGTCCACGTTTTAAGTTGTCAAATTTCATAAATGTGTACAACAAAGATGCCCTAAACAATCGACTGTTCCAAGCTCTCAGTTGAAAACACTAAAACCAAAGCCAAGACAGAATCACGACAATCAAGTCAAAGTCACATCCATCAAGACAAAGTCAAGGCCTCTCTCTCAACTCCAAGGTGCTTCAGGTAGCATGCTTAGGTAGGTTCCACAACTCAGAGTTGACTAGCCAAGCTCAGCCAATTAAATTTGGGACTTGTGGTTTCAAACCACACATTCTGGTCAATGGTTCAAATTGAGACCCTTAACACAATATAAAGCTTTCCCGACAGAATCCCTGGTCATTCAGACGTCCGATTATGTTTTAGTTTTTTCCCCAGTTATGATAGGGTTTATTACTTTATCTATTTTTTCAAGAAATGACTTGTAAGGGAGTTTGTTATATGCTCACCTGGAAGGTTGCAGGGATGGTGCCATCTTCTGCTGCAAACATTGAATCATAAATTGCAACAGTGGCCAGGGCAGTTTCCCTCTTTAGAATCTGATTTGAATGATAAGAAGATCAGACCCATCAATAGGATTACATAAAAGTAAAACATGAATATTACTTGATAATGTACACAAACATAGTCTGCCCAAAAGTAAATATATCTTACAGTGTTCCTTTGTAAAAGGGCATTGGTTTCACCCATGGCACGCAGATGTTCTACGAGATCCAGGGCTACAACGAAGGGAAAAGACCAAAATTAATGAATGACAAAAGACTTAGGCAACAGGGGTAAGACATGATATTCAAACAAGACAAATCACACCCAAAAAAATTGTTGCTATATAATGTACTCATTGCCTTCAAATATTACGCATGCTTATCAGTTCAAAACAAAAATAAAGTTTGTAGAACTAAGGAGTTTGATCTTAGAGCTGCCTAAACCAGTCATGTTTTTGACATACAAGTTGCCAACCCGGTCCCCACCAACTCCTCTTTCTAATGCAACCCAAGACAAACAAAACAAAGAAAAGAAAAAGGAACGGGAAAAGAGAGGAAAATAAGACACAAGTCAAATTCGGATCAGATACTTTGTCCAAGTAATTATTGCCTTCTAAGCATGCTGAATTTTATTAAACAGTCTGAATGGAAGCGTATAATCAGGGCCATCCCTGACCCCATGTCCAAATGGTACCATGGTACAGGCCCCCAGTGTTAAAGGGTCCCCAAACTGTTTTGTACATAGGCCCTGTTTAAAGTATACATACATATATGAATCAATTTATTCAAACTTTATTCGTGTTTCGATATTTTCATTTGGTATCTAGTTCTTTATCCTTTTGTCAGTTCATAATCAAAACTGACATCTATTATTTTGTTTGCTAATAGGTTAAAGTTTGCCCTGCCCCAACATTTTTTTGATAACTCTCTCTCTCTCTCTCTCTCTCCACCGGGATTCCGATGTTCCAACCATCAATTTCTGGGCAACCACCATTGGATCTTACTATTCCGGCGTTTTTTGACTAAGGTAATATCTACTCCAAAATTCTTATTTTATTCCAAAAAATATCAAATAAATTTCCAAGAATTCCAGAAAATTATGTTAAATTCTTTTATCTTCTAATGAAATAGAGATCTGTTCTTGCTGTCCCTTTAACCTAGGGAGCTATTAGGTTAATAAAATAGAGATCTGTTCTTGTTGTTGCTTAAATCGAGGGAGCTATTAGGTTAAGGGAATAAATTTATGTTTACCTGTTTCCTCTCTAAGCAAGGTATGTTTGGTTTGCACTCGAGAAGGCAAATGTGGAATTCAGCCCACTCATTTTTGTACCTGCATGACGATCCATCCAAGAAAAATAAAGAGTGAGTCAAACCAGTTTTGTGTGATTTGCCCCCAAAAGTTACGAATGTGAGGATTTTGAACTTAAAAGACAGCACGAAAAGGTTAGTTTACTAATCCTAAATACATCGATAGGAAGTCATAATATCATTGCTTACAGTCAATGTGGTCACAACAGTAAACAAATCAATTTCAAATGCAGCAAACGAATGAAGTGTCATTGCCAACTTATTGGGTCGGTGCTGACTTTGTTGATGGAGTAATAGAATTTTGTGAGCCAAGTAATTTCGTGAATGATAATTAGAGGGGCAACAATAATTATGATAAACATCAAGATCAGTTGCTAAACAACAATGATTACTGTCCTAATGAAACTTCGTCATTCTTGGGTGATAGTGATGAAGGATACTTAATCGATTCTCCGACCATTGACGACTACATGGACGAATTGTTTCCAGACTTAGCCGGGTAATGGTCATTGCCACAAATGCCACAGATTGCTGCTACATATGAAAGCGAAGTGTCGTTTCCAACTTCTGAAGTCAGTGTTGAATCAACTAATGGAGGAGAAATGGAACCTTATAATCAAAGTCACTTCCAGAATATGGGCAATTACCAACCTTTAGAAGAAGACATCAACTGCTTCTCCAACTATTCATTTGTGGATGATTTAATGGGCCATTGTGAAGGAAACCTTAGGATTTTAGATTCATTAAGCCACAAAGATGAGATTAGACTTAATCTCTAGGCAAGGGAAGCAAAGATTAAAACTTTGAGCTTAAAAACAAAATCTAACCCAAGTATCTTTAGGCCTAAAGGGATTGAAGCACTTAGACACCTCCACAAACTATTAGAGAGAGAAAGTAGAGAATTCTTTATACATTTGATGCACTATCTTGAGCAAAGCTCAAGGTTGATCACCCATGGATGGCCTTCACCAAATGATTCTCAAAGAGAGAGCCACCCAAATGTTTGGCCTCTAACTTCATACACACTAAAGGAAGAGGATGGAGGAGACTATGAAGAACCTAGGAGGTTGAAGATGCCAGTGTTCTTCCTCCTAGGTGGCTGACCATGGTAGAGGGGAGGGAAAGGCATAGTGTTGCCCCATTCTCCTCCCATCATCCAAAACCCTGGAGAAAGATAATGTTCATCTCTATCTATATATAGGCTAAGCATTTCAAGTTGCGTCACCTATGACCCATATCACTTGAAATGACCCATGTGGGTCATCAAGTGGGTCAAAACCCACTATCTCTACCATGTGGCCGAAATTCCTTACTAATTGGGTTTCTTGGGCTTCATCTTTTAAGTTGTCATGTACAACTCATCTTATGAGCCCAATGAGCCTTAAATCTCTAAAACTAATTTTAAGCCCAATACAAGTCCCGAACATTAATTAATTAATTAATCTTTATTAACTAATTAATCATTTCTCTTCATCTCCTAATTAAATTTCCATATCTTATCTTTATGGGTGTCTGATCTATTGTGTTCTAATCGGTTAGGCCATGGAAAACATGTCAAACCCCTAATGTGAACTTCAAGCTTATATGACTCATACAAGTATGATTGGAATCACCATTCTCAATTATACCTAGGGGTGGGCATGGTCTGGTTTGGACCGGTTTTTGCCTCAAATTAGAACCAAATCCGGTAATATTTATCCGATTTGGTTCCAGTCGGTTTTAGCAAAAAAATTTCAAAAACTGTCCGGTTCGAGTCTGGTCCGATTCGGTTTTGAACCGAATTATTAAAATTATTCTTTAATACAAATTTCAACTGAAATTTTATTCTTTTGACTTGAAAATTAATAAATTATTTAATTTCATATAAAAATAAATATTAAAACTAGAAAAGAGAGATGTTTTGAAATTGAACTTGGATAAATATTAGTTATGAGATTAAAAATATAGCATTGAATATAAATAAATATTGAAATTATATATTTTTTAATTTGACCGGTTCGATTCGGCCCAATCCGGTTTTTGAAGACATAGAACCATATCCAAAATCGATCCAAACCGGTCCGGTTTGGTTTTTGACCGGTTGTTGACTTTTTTGTCAACTCGGTTTTTTTCCCCTTTTTTTCAGTGCAGTTCGGCTCGGATTTCCGGTTTTCCGGTTTGAATGCCCACCCCTAATTATACCTAATGCTTCGACTGAAGACTCCTGAATCATATCATCAGAGCATTCTCCTTCTTTGCTAAAGATAGAGATCCATTGTTGTATACTCACCTGTCTTCATGGATTGATCACAAATCTCAATCGTACAATATGGTTATGCCCCTAAAGAGCATAACGTTTTAGTATATCAAAGGTCCATGACGCTTCCACAAGACAACTGTGGTGACTCAGGTCGATGACTAATTTACATTATTTCAACTATGGAGATCTTGTTTGACATGCATGTAAAACTTCTATTAAAGATCCCCGGTTGATCCCGCTTAGTGAATTCACTCCCTAGTGAGCACCTATACACTTATCTTAGTATCTCAGCACAAATAACTCTAAACCACTCATCCTCCCAATTGAGCACCTATAGTGTATATTGGTCTTTGTGCATTTTCAATGCCCAGTTGACAATCCTATGACCATGAACTCTTCAGGGTGTGAGTTTATAAGGAAAGGTCTCTTGGACCTAACTTCTTTAGATCGCTTTCGCATATCACTGCCCATGGACTTGTCGTTTAGGTGGATAACCTAAATCGACTAATTAGCCTTATTATTTACTATAAAATGTAATGAAATATCCTTAAAGTTTCACCACATATTTGACTTTAGGGCATAATTCCAACACATTCATCATCACACTCAATGATGAATATTGGAGGAGATGATTCAATATTAATTTGCACCAAGGAGATGAAACATTGAATATTTGTACCAAAATTTTGACACTATTTCCTCTCTAAGCACGATATGCTTCGTTTGCACAGAGGAGGCAAACTTGGAATTTGGCCCGCTCAATTTTGAACCTGCATGAGGATCTAGGCACGAAAAATAAATAGTTAGTCAAAACAGTTTTGCGTTGTTTCCCCTCCCCCCAACAGTTACGAATGCGAGGATTTTGAACTCAAAGAAAGAACAAAAAGACTTTGCACTCTTATAGTTCCATAAATGGAAACTTATTACTATAAGAATTATTATTGAATGATAAATAATCATTGGTAATAGATTAGTCTTGTAATTGCATATAATTAGAGGCACAAACAAGAATAATTCTTTATATATATATATATACACGATATTGGGGAAGGAGGGTTTTCTCACACACACTCTCAAGACACATTGTCTGCAAGTCACGGTTAGGTTCAATCTTTAGATCACTAGTCTGCAAGTAAAGGCCCTTTCTACTGGGCTAGAGCCCATTGACACAACAAATAAGTTGTTTTATATATGTATGATGTTAAATTTTAAGCAAATTATAAACATATCAAAGAATATCAAAGTTTCAGATAAGCCATTTACCCTGTATGATATATGATCTTCTCTATCCCAATTCCCTCTTGAGAAAATAAGTTAGGAATGACTTTGCAGTGCATTCTTTTGTTTTTTTTTTAGGGAGATTCACTATTATACCCAATATAGGAGCCCAAATTATAAATAAATCAAAAAACAAAATTGCATATGATATGAACTTTAGAAACACACCCAAAGCCCATTTACAACATAACAAAAAGGCTTTTAATTTTTTTTAAATTACAAAACTACCATTGATTTCTTAAAACAAACTCAATCCAAAAACCTCATAAAAAAGCCCAAAACACTTAATAGGGCATCAAGGTAATTTAATAATCAAAATTAAATTCAATAGGGCCAACTATCATTTTTTGGGTTTTTTTTGGGTTTGTTTATAGAAATTAAATGGTGTAGGGTTTATTTATGGGTAATGATTTCCCCACTTCAATTTTATCCACTTACACTCCTTTTTTAGTTATAAAATGGAGTGTAAGTGGATAAAA